GGGAAAGAGGGGGGGAAGGGTGGGCCCTGAGGCTTTTAGTCAGTCCCAAGTCTTGGGTCAGGCTCACTTTCCTTCTGGAGCCTGTGAAGTTGTAAGTGGGGCTTGCAGGGGCCTGGGGGTTTGTCAGGCAGGACTGTGGGGGAAGCTGGCTGGGGGCTAAGGGAGTGGGGAGAATTGCTGGGAGCTGGAGGGTTTTGCAGCCAGCTGGGAAGTTTGCAGTGGACTGGGAGCTGGGGTTTTTTGCAGCAGCTGGCTGGGAGCTGGGGGGTTTGCACTTGCTGGGAGCTGGGGACTTTGCAGGAGCTGGGGGGGTTGCAGCTGGTTGGGAGCAAGGGTTTTGCAGCCTCCCCACTCCCAGCCGGAGTGCCCACTGGGGTGCAAAGTTCTGCTCCTGGCCAGAGTGCCAGGATGGCTGCACCTGGAACCCAAGCAGTGCCATCAGCCCAACTGGGCTGGGCTTTTCCATGTGCTGCATTGGTGATGCATAGGGTTGCACATGGGTGCACGTGCCCCCCCTGAGCATGGCAGTGCATGCCCTAGAAAAAGGCAAGTGGTCGCCACTCATTACCCCCGCCGCTGCCACCTCCAGTGTCAGCAATCACCACTGGCTGCCTTCAATGCTGCCAGCAGCATCTGCAGATGGTCGCCAACCCCTGGTCAACGCTCGCCACCTGCCGCCGACAGCACTGGCAGCATCTGAGGGAGCTCCCAGCTGCCACACTCCTGCCACCACTGTGCCCCCCACCCCAGCCTCCAGGGGCGCGCATCATTCATGATATGCGGCTTCTCTTAAGGGCCAATAGCTGACTCACAGTCCACATACAGCCAGCCGGGCAGCCATTGCACATCTTCCCCCAACCCCTCCCCACTCCCTCAGCCCCAAGCCAGCTCCCCATGGGAGTGTGTCCAGTGTCCACAAACACATGCACGCACATATGCACGTACAGATGCATACACACACGTACACCCATAGATGTGCATACACATATATACATGCACAGGTGCACACATGCACATACATGGATGCACACGTGAAAGAGGGGCACCAGGAGGGCTGGGGAGACTGTAGGGGGGAGTGAGGGATGCCAGCAGGGCCAGTGGGGTTGTGAGGGGCCTTTAATTTTAATCACAGATTTGGGGGGTTTTATCAGTGAATTTGCAATTGTTTTTAATCAGAGAATTTGTGATTTTTTTTATCAGAGAAAACCAGGGTCCCTGCTTATCACAAAAACGGACCTGAGCTAAAATCTTGTGGCCATACAGCCCTGAACTGTGAGGTTTGGATTCAGACTTCATATAACAGACTCATTCCTTACAGGAGAAATTGAAATAAAGCATAATATCAAAGTAGAAAACAAAAAATGTGTATTTCTCATATTTTTCTAATAGCAAAACTCTTTATATTTGCTTCAAGAGGCACCATCAGCATGACCAAAAACTCATATTTCTGTCTGCACATGTAAGAAAACTAGTAACTGCTAAAATGGCTGTATCTTAAAGATAAGGGAAAAAACATTTTTCTCTGGTCAGTTCATTTTGGTGCATTTATCAGATCTAAGTGCAGAATCATTTTCAAGTAACCTTGTATAGCCAGTCAATTTCCCTTGCCTGTGCAAGTCTCAATTTTTATTTAGTTGTAAACAATGTTGTTGTATGCATTGTCAGTAACGTTTCATTTCTGAAATGTCCAATACTGCACATTTTTCCTTTGTGTGAAAAGGAGTCTATTTCTCCCCTTTCACACAAGGGAAATCTAGGTAGTCCTGTTGAAGTCCGTGGGATAATTCTCCCCTCCCCACAAAGTTTGCATTTCCAGTAAAAAGGCAGCTGTTGTTAATACATACCTTGGGAACATTACTGGATTGAGGGAGTCTATCCGATTGACTCATCTCTGGAAGTTTAATGAGACTGGATATCTTTTTGAAAGCTATTCTCCAGCCCAGCCAGAAATTTATGGGCCTGATGCTGAATTACTGGGTGAAACTGAAAATTTTAAAAATTGAAATTTCAAAAAATATTTCGATTGAAATTTGAACCGTTTCTACCATATCTGCGCACTAAGAGGTCCGGACTTTTACAAAAAGAACAGTGGCAGTAAAGAAACAATTCAGGCAGATAAAATAACAGAATTTTATAAAACTTCCTATACCCACAACGTGTTTCAGTGTGAAGGTTTGTATCTCAGAGGCATGTGGTACCTCACATGTTTCCAGAATTTAGAATTCAAGTACCCTGGGTGAGCTGTGTACTTTTTTTTCCATTTTATGGTACCTTGCTGCTTAATAATATACCTGAGAGATTCTTGCAGTTCCTTGTAGTCCCCATTTGTCTCCATTTCAAGAACAATGGCCTTTATGTCATCCTGAATGAGGGCACAGTGTAAGGCAATATGTTGATCATAAGCAAACTCCTTGCAGTGAATCAGCTTGGGTGTTAAAATTATTATTGATCTCCTGCTTTTTTGTATTCTCGTTTCAATGGCATTGGCTACATCTAATAAAGCACAAACAAATCAAGAGTTAGTAACATTTCTTTTACAGGCCCTTCTGCATTCAGACATTGCAGATCTTCAAAAACAAACAAAAACTCACAAGGACCTCTGTCTCACATCAATCTGATAGCATCTCTCAAGAGCAAAAGCTGAAAAGCACACAGAAATCAAGGTTTACCTTCAAATCCTCTATTTATCTGAAACCTGAATGCATCCTTAAATATTGGTGCCAACCCTCTAGAGAGCATTTTGAACTATGGTACTTTGTTTTGGAAACCTACGGTCAACTTTGGTGTAGACAGACCTGACTTTGATCCACAGCTCCTGTATCAGAGGCTCTCAAAAAGCGTTCCACATAAAATAGTGATTTATAGCCAGACCTTTCAATACACACTCAGGCAAGTTAGTTATCAATGTGGGAACTTTAGCTTAAGAATTAAGAGGAGGGCTTGTCTACACAAAGGAGCATCGAGTTCACGCTAGCTGCCATTCAGCAACTGTTGCATAAAATGGTATGCTGTAGCTATGATCCCACATGGCCAGCAACCACACACTTCAGCACAACTCATTACTTTTGCATGATAATGGCTGTAGTGGTTATCTCATGCCTCTTTTTCCACTACTGGGGATCCATATGCATTGTGGTATTGTTCCTGAAGCACTTTCTAAAATACCTAATGGAATCTAATAGTTGTCAGAAATGTGGGGTCAAATTCACAAATTCCTCTGATTTAACTCTCAATTTCCTGCACATTAAATTCCTTTAATTCATGGATTAAAGAGAAGTTCTCCTATAACAAGAGAACCATGTTCTCCTATCTCTTTATGGCCACCTGGTGCCATTTGCAAGCTGTTGTCAGATAATATATAGGAAAACAATGCAGTGATGTTGATCATTGCAAATCCACAGTGACTTGCAGAGCTATATTTGATATCTTGCTAGTTTTGCAAGTTAGCTGCCAGGCTAACCGAGCATCTTTTGAGAGTGCCTTTGGCAGCATCACCAATACCAATAGCTACCCCCACCTGCATCTTTTATCAGTGACAGGACACAGACTGGCTCATTCTGGGGTTTTTCTTGGATCATCTTTGTTCAAAACGGGGTGTGTTTGAACAACCTGCCACTTGATCCAAGATCAGTTCACTTGCAAATAAACTACTCCCAAGTAAATGGTCCCAAACTCCTACAGATGTGGGAGCAGATTTGCCAGCAGCTGGCAGCCATCTTGAAAAGCCAGTTATCCTCCATTACTGAGGCTGGAACTTTTATCAGAAAACTTTTATAAAAATTACATCTCAGTTGAACAAGATCATTCTTTACCTTCACAAAAGTGCAAGGGCAAATGGATACAATTATCAGCATAAGAAACTGAGCAAAATGATAAATATCAAGAAGGTAAAAAAAATAGCACTTCCATGTAAGGTCATTCAAACAACAGCACAACAGCTTCAAATGATTAATTTAGAACTCTTTCAAAAATGAAAAGTACAAATAACTCTCAGCCTTCCAGCTACTGCAGCACATTCCCACAACCTTTCTTCCTGGCCACCCTCTGGGATGTCTGAAGGATTTAATGCTGTGGCAGACAGACCTGGGTTGGATTGGAGGGTCTAAAGATGACCTCCAGGAGATGATATTCTTAATATAAGTGTAGTCTGTCGGGGGCAGAATCTAGGCCTGAAGGCTGTCTTACAGAACTCTTACAGAAGTTTCCTAAGATCTGTACAACAGGAGCTAGAGTTATCTGAGGATGTAAGGCTATGCCAAAAGAATATTAGGGAGCAGGTGACCTGGAATTCAGTATGTTTTTTAACAAACCATCCAGCTGATCATGTTCTTGATAAGCTGTCTCTGCACCTCTTCATCCATTCAAGAGTATCCCTTCTTTCTAAGGCCTCTTTTCCATCCAGGCCCTTGTCACAACACTAGGATGTTCTTCTACCTCCCAGAGGAAGGTGGGGCTCCATTGTGTCACTTCCTAGCCTCTTGCTCATTTCTGAGAAGCCATCTCCACTTCTGAGCCACCCAGGCTCCCTTCTAGGATGCTTCTTGCAGCTCACCAAATATGCGTCTTTTTGTTTTTGTCTTCTTCCCTGTCAGGTTTTGGAAGACGGTTACAGCTTGTTGCGGGTCTGGTTTACTCAGATGCAGATGCTTTCAAAGGCAGGAAAGTAACAAGCAGCCATTTTCCTATGATGAGGAAGGGGAGGAAGAAGCAGATGAAGAAAATGACCCAGATTATGACCCAAAGAGTTTCTATGGAATCAAAGATTGAAAAAAAATGCCTCCCAATGTTGACATGCCATAGATTCATAGATTCATAGATGTTAGGGTCGGAAGGGACCTCAATAGATCATCGAGTCTGACCCCCTACATAAGCAGG